CTGGATTTTTGTTGTTGTTAACCTCCCGAGTGGCGCAGTGGTCTAAGGCACTGCATCGCAGTGCTAGCTGTGCCACTAGAGTTCCTGGTTCGTATCCAGGCTCTGTCGTAAAATGGCCGGCAGGGATGTAGCTCAGTTGGTAGAGCATGGCGTTTTAACGCCAGGGTTGTGGGTTCGATTCGTATGCACTCACTAACTGTAAGTCGCTCTGGATAAGAGCGTCTGCTAAATGACTAAAATGTAAATGTAAATGTAAATGTTGTTATTCTGTCTCTCACTGTTCAAATAAACCTACCATTAAAATTATAGACTGATAATTTCTTTGTCAGTGGGCAAACGTACAAAATCAGCAGGGGATCAAATACTTTTTTCCCCTCACTGTATCCACAGTAAAACAAGTCCTATATCGACATAACCTAGAAGGCCACTCATCAAGGAAGAAGCCACTGCTCCAAAACCACCATAAAAAAGCCAGACTACGGTTTGCAACTGCACATGGGGACAAAGATCGTACTTTGGTCTGATGAAACAAAAATATAACTGTTTGCCTATAACGACCATCGTTATGTTTGGAGGAAAAAGGGGGTTGCTTGCAAGCCGAAGAACACATCATGCTGTGGGGGTGCTTTGCTGCAGGAAGGACTGGTGCACTTCACAAAATAGATGACATCATGAGGAAGGAAAATTATGTGCATATATTGAAGCAACATCTCAAGACATCAGTCAGGAAGTTAAAGCTTGGTCGCAAATGGGTCTTCCAAATGGACAATGACCCCAAGCATACTTCCAAAGTTGTGGCAAAATGGCTTAAGGACAACAAAGTCAAGGTATTGGAGTGGCCATCACAAAGCCCTGACCTCAATCCTATAGAACATTTGTGGGCAGAACTGAAAAACCGTGTGCGAGCAAAGAGGCCTACAAACCTGACTCAGTTACACCAGCTCTGTCAGGAGGAATGGGCCAAAATTCACCCAACTTATTGTGGGAAGCTTGTGGAAGGCTACCCTAAACATTTTACCCAAGTTAAACAATTTAAAGGCAATGCTACCAAATACTAATTGAGTGTATGTAAACTTCTGACCCACTGGGAATGTGATTGAAGAAATAAAAGCTGAAATAAATCATTCTCTTTACTATTATTCTGACATTTCACATTCTTAAAATAAAGTGGTGATCTTAACTGACCTAAGACAGGGAATTTTTACTCGGATTAAATATCAGGAATTGTGAAAAACTGAGTTTAAATGTATTTGGCTAAGGTGTATGTAAACTTCCGACTTCAACTGTATTGTTGAACATAATATACTCTACAGGCATATCAAAGTTCCGGAGTGGTATCTCTGCTACCTTTAGAGTTATGGTCCAATTTGTAAGCATTACCAACATAGTGAATGTGAAAATGCATTCAAAATGGTCGCCCTCTGCTGGTGATTTGCAGGATGTGCAATAGTACAAGTAAAAGGAGTGCTGTGATTGGATACATTGTCTACTATGCCAATGTCTCTGTATAAAATGGAACATAACTTTAAAACTAGCAGAGATCCCACTGGAACTTTGATATGCCCATAGATCATTTTACTATGTTCAACAATATTCACGTTTATATTTTTCAGCATTCATAAATTAATGTAAAACAATTATTGAAATCAAAATACTACTCCTATTACAGAGCCAGCGGTAAAGATTCAAATGACACCAATTTTTTATTTGTAGCACCAACAGATGAAACATTAGATCTGGAATTCATGAAACTGCCACGTCCGTTTGCGATATGACAACAACAAAACAAAAACAATAACAAATGCGCCAGGAGTGGCCAGTGGCGATTTTGCGCCTATCGCAGATCTCAGCTTTAAAGGATGTTTCGGTAAGACCAAAATGTCACAAATGTTCCAACTTCAATTCATTATTCCTCAATTAAGCTTTAAGATACAAATGTCAAATATATGTCAACATACAGTGCATTCGGAAATTATTCAGACCCCTTGACTTTTTCCACCTTTTGTTACGTTACAGCCTTATTCTAAAATTGATTAAAATATATATATATTCTCATCAATGTACACACAATACCCCATAATGACAAAGTGAAAACAGGTTTTTAGAAATGTTAGCAAATTTATTAAAAATAAAAAACAGAAATCCCTTATTTACATAAGTATTCAGACCCTTTGCTATGAGACTCGAAATTGAGCTCAGGTGCATCCTGTTTCCATTGATCATCCTTGAGATGTTTCTAAAACTTGATTGGAGTCCACCTGTGGTAAATTGAATTGATTGGACATGATTTGGAAAGGCACACACCTGTCTATATAAGGTTCCACAGTTGACAGTGCATGTCAGAGCAAAAACCAAGCCATGAGGTCGAAGGAATTGTCCTTAAAGCTCCGAGACAGGATGGTGTCAAGGCACAGATCTGGGGAAGGGTACCAAAACATTTCTGCAGCATTGAAGCTCCCCAAGAACACAGTGGCCTCTAGCATTCTTAAATGGAAGAAGTTTGGAACCACCAAGACTCTTCCTAGAGCTGGCCGCCCGGCCAAACTGTGCAATCGGGGGAGAAGGGCCTTGGTCAGGGAGGTGACCAAGAACCCAATGGTCACTCTGACAGAGCTCCAGAGTTCCTCTGTGGAGATGGGAGAACCTTCCAGAAGGACAACCATCTCTGCAGCTCTCTACCAATCAGGCCTTTATGGTAGAGTGGCCAGAAGGAAGCCACTCCTCAGTAAAAGGCACATGACAGACCGCTTGGAGTTTGCCAAAAGGCACCTAAAGGACTCTCAGACCATGAGAAACAAGATTATCTGGTCTGCTGAAACCAAGATTGAACTCTTTGGCCTGAATGCCAAGCGTCACATTTTACATTACATTTTAGTCATTTAGCAGACGCTCTTTTCCAGAGCGACTTACAGTTAGTGAGTGCATACATTTTTATTTTTTATACTGGAATCGAACCCACAACCCTGGCGTTGCAAATGCCATGCTCTACCAACTGAGCTACATCCCTGCCGTCTGGAGGAAACCTGGCACCATCCCTACGGTGAAGCATGGTGGTGGCAGCATCATGCTGTGTGGATGTTTTTAAGCGGCAGGGACTGGGAGACTAGTCAGGATCAAGGGAAAGATGAACGGAGCAAAGTACAGAGTGATCCTTGATGAAAACCTGCTCCAGAGTGCTCAGGACCTCAGACTGGGGGCGAATGTTCACCTTCCAACAGGACAATGACACTAAACACACAGCCAAGACAACGCAGGAGTGGCTTCGGGACAGGTCTCTGAATATCCTTGAGTGGCCCAGCAAGAGCCCATATTTGAACCCAATCGAACATCTCTGGAGAGACCTGAAAATTGCTGTGCAGCGATGCTCCCCTTCCAATCTGACAGAGGTTGAGAGGATCTGCAGAGAAGAATGGGAGAAACTCCCCAAATACAGGTGTGTCAAGCTTCTAGCATCATACCCAAGATGACTCAATGCTGTAATCGTTGCCAAAGCTGCTTCAACAAAGTACTGAGTAAAGGGTCTGAATACTTATGTAAATGTGGGTATTTCCGTTTATTTTTTATACATTTGCAAAAATTTATAAAAACCTGTTTTTGCTTTGTCATTATGGGGTATTGTGTGTAGATTGATGGGGGGGGGGGGGAAACTATTTAATTCATTTTAGAATAAGGCTGTACCGTAACGAAATGTGGAAAAAGTCAATCGGCCTGAATACTTCCCGAATGCACTGTACCTTCCTTCAAAGGACCCGTCTATGGATTACATTTTGTGGAAATCAAAAAATTAATGGTATTTTTTGTTCTACCTTCGTGAGGAAACACCCAAAGGAGACTTTAGCTAAACAGTATATCATTTTTCTCTCTCAGTAGGACTTGTCATTTGATAGCAGTCTGCCATTCAGTCGGCCTCATGCAGGCAGAGCCCTGTGCCGGGAGAGAGCAGGTTGTGAAGGAGAGAGGGAGGAGACTCACCGAGTGGAAAGAAAGAAAGAGAAAGAAAGAAAGAAAGAAAGAAAGAAAGAAGAGACGCCTGTGTTGTGAGCCAGTGGGCCTGCTCATGGGGTTTGGGAGAAATGTGCAACACACGCATGCACACACACACACACACACCCCTTTCTCTTACATACATATAGTATTGGCGTAACACTTCAACGCCTTACAGCAACATCTTATAGCATATTTTGCACTTTAAAGTGTTGAAGTTCACACAGCAAGGTCTGGATGTCAAATATGAATGAAAATTGGGGAGTGATGAACAGTTACAAGGGCCTTTCTTTCATGTATGCCTCCTGGCAATAAAATAGGCCTAGTTGAAAGATACATATGTTCCTGATCCGGACATGCCTCGTTGGATCGTTGAGTGTATTCCAAACGAAAGCAAATGGAAGGAAACGGGGAGGGACCTACATGAATTTGTACAATAGAAACTCTCGTTGCAAAATGTTTTCAGTTTGGAGTGAACGGATTCCGTTGCAAAACTTTTTGGACTAATGATTACAACCTTTTTTTGTGTGCAGGTCTTACATGATCATTAAAAGGCAGTTATGACTTGGAGATATGACCTAAAGATACAGTACATACAGGTGTAAAACTGATGCACAGGGTCCTCTGCCTGCTGTTGTAAATGGATTGTTGATAAAGCTTTTGTAAGAGAATACAAAAGAACACTAATTTGAGTACTTGAGTCATTTACCCTTGGCTTGATGGTCCACATTTCACACCGATATCACCAGTTTCCGAAAACATTTGATGGATGGCTGCTGAAGCGTATTATCCTCATTGACCTCTCTCTCTCTCTCTCTCTCACTCGCTCTCTCTCGCTCATGCTTTCTCTCGCTCTCATGCTCTCTCTCTCTCGTTCTCTCTCTCATGTTCTATCACTGTCTGTCTCTCATGTTCTATCACTGTCTGTCTCTGTTTTTCTCCAGGAGCAGGGTGCGGTGGTGGAGCAGGACAAGGTGAAGACCCTGCAATCTCAGGTGGAGGGGGTGAAGGACATAATGACCCAGAACGTGGACCGGATCCTGGCCCGAGGAGAGAGGCTGGATGACCTGATGGGCAAGTCAGAGGACCTGCAGGCTGGGGTCAGTCCTACAACACTGGTCTTCCCATCTTGTGTGCTCCTCTACTGTTTTTTTTATTTCATAGTTAATCCAAATTAGGTATCCATATGGACTTGAAGAGTTTGTGACCCACTGTTTGGGTTTGTGTACCATACTTATCTTCAGTTTAAATCTAATTATATCAAATCAAACTTGCATTTAAAATTCTCAACACACTTACAGTAAAACAATAAAATGTAGTAGACACACACACAGTTTGCAAAGCATCGGTTACTGCAAAACGATGCAAGTGGTAGGATTTTTGTTAACATGTTCCTAATAGCATCCCATCTTCCCTCAGGCTCAGAACTTCAAGCACACGTCCCAGAAGGTGGCTCGTTCCTACTGGTGGAAGAACATGAAGCTGTGGGTGGTGATCGTGGTCATCGTCCTCGTCGTAATCCTCATCATCGTACTGCTTGCCACTGGAGTCATCCCTACCAGCTCGCCTGCTCCCCCTCTTCCAACACCCACAAAAGGACTATAACCCTCCATGGCGGAGACACACATTTACAGTACATCGCACATACACACGCACACACTTGTTAGCTTACTTACCACCTGAGCAATTTCTTTCAAGAGAAGCCCAACTTCAAGAGAGACCAACTTGGCTCATGATCAATAGCTACTGTTGACTCTACAGTTCAACAATGCGTCATTACTTTGAAATGATGCATGTTGGCTTTTCTCCCTCTTTCTCAAATACATCACTGTCTCAACTCTTGTGCAGCTTCACACCCCCAGTCTAGCCAGTCTTTGGCCATTCAAACACCATATGGTTTATTTGAAGAAGAAAACATTACTTTAAATCCCCTGCTCTCTCTGTTAATGCTGGGCCGCAACTGTTTTTCAGGAAAGACCAAAGTACTAATTAAGGGGTAGATATTGGCATTGTAGCCTATATAATGTTCTTTGTGACACATTTCCAAATTCATGCTGGCATTTATATGGCATTTATGGTTTCTATCCATTTGGTGTTTTTAGGGTATGTAATGTGATCCACACACAGTCGGGTAATGAGTTAAGCCTCCAAGAGGTCAAAGGTCAGAACAGATTTGAACGTGTGAACATGGGAGATATGAAGAGATTTGTGCTGTAGAGATGAATGTTTGTCATGGTCATTGTTGCTGATAATTATTTTAAATTGTTTGTGTAGTTAGTCTTTTCCCACTTTTTTCACCACATTTGAATGTGTTTTAGCTGAGCTGGTTACTAGAACAGTTGTCACAGTGTTTTTGTTTTGAAAGTTGGGAGAACAGGGTTTCTGACTTGCAGGGTTAGTGAAAGAAAGCATCGGAGGCCACAGACGAGACATAGGTTGGTGGGAACTGAGAGAGGGAAAGAGAGAGAGAATGGTGGGAGACTCTGGAGAAGTGAAAGGTCTTTACACCTCTATCCATGACCTGATACTCCATCATACATAACCTGCTGGAACTCTTGTAATGACCTATGCTGGTTGTCATGTTCCTTGTACCCAGGTCTTGGAAACCCTGGCTAACTCCAGTTAAGCTGCTGTGAGAGAGGGATGATTGAACAGCTAACAACTCCCCTGCTGGTCCAAACTAATGTCTAAAGCTCCTATGACTGCTGTCATGACATCGCTTAGTTAGTGTCTTCCTAAAACAAGGCAGTAGCTTTCAATTGTAATGTACTGTAATTCAGTAATTGCTTACCTATTTCTTCCCCTTTATTTCTTTACCCACTTAAGTCTTAATTCCCCCAAAATGTATTCATTCTGATAATGTAATCTTGACTCCATTAAAACGATAAATTGCAGAGTAGCTTTGGTACATGTATTCTTTAGCTACTTTGCGTTTTAATTTATCCCAATGCCCACTCCAATGGTACGATACCATCCGAGCTTTGGAGAGGTCAAGGAGTTACCTCCCATGTGTGTATATAGTTCATGTTTAGTTTATTCACCTGTTAGTACATTTGTAAAGCACCCACATCGGGCCCTAAACCATCCGAGTAGTGTAACATTGAGGTTCATTTAAGGCTATTTATTAACATTTTATATTTCTCATCCCTACTGAACATCTTTGTTTTCTTTTGTTTCTCATATTACTTTATTAATGTTCTTTTTGATCAACAATACCAATGAAGGAGTATGAAATGACATGCTTGGATTAAAAAGTGTCTACATACTTAGAAAATGCCTGACACTATTTTTGTAATGGGAAATTATTGAAATACAATTTTGCCTTAATTCCTTAATTAAAAGTATGACCACATGAATATTTGTTCTGTTTTTTATAAGGCTGCCACCATAATGTGCCTTGCTACAGTCCGATCATAAATGTCAGATATGTGTAGCCATGGGGCTCCAGGCCAGAGACAGTCCCGTGTAGCTCAGTTGGTAGAGCATGGCGCTGCCAACGCCAGGGTTGTGGGTTCGATTCCCACGGGGGACCAGTATGGGGGGAAAAATGTATGCACTCACTAACTGTAAGTCGCTCTGGATAAGAGCGTCTGCTAAATGACTAAAATGTAAAAAATATAACTATTTTAGACCAGTAGGATGTATTGGGAATTTGGGCCAGTAACAATTGCTGTAGAATTATTTGTTTTTCATTAATTGATGGAGTTCAATCATGTTGTATCTGATTAGTTATAGAATAAATTGTATTTACTTACACAGTGATTATGTTTTGTTCTTTCCTCTTGTCTAAAATTATATTTGCTTGATCATAACGTCACAAGAGGGAGACACAGTACACTAACACAAAGAGGTTGGTATAGTTGATGAAAGGACCATGGGGAAAACCCTTAGGTTGTTTTTACTGTGTTCTAACTGCTGGGATCTCTCAATAAGCTAAGGGGGGAAAAGGAAGTCTCGATTAGTGTTTACTTTGTGAAGGTGTTATTTTGAATCAACAGAACAGAACAGTTGAGCCATTATCAGAACAGTCAGGGTTACCAGAGTTTTCATCTAATATTTAACATCTTTGCTGTAACCATTAACAGTATTTACTTGGACTGTGTATTAGGTTTTACAGTGGGCCCAAACAGTGTTTACTTTTAGCTATTTTTACTCGCCATGCAAAGACCTCAATGACATCTCTAAATCTCCATCCATGTGTGATATCTCACAGCACAGATCTCACAGACGGGAAAGGGGTCGAGGTTGCTTGGATCGGATCTACTTAGGCTGCGTTTACACAGGCAACCCAATTCTGATATTTTTTCCACTAATTGGTCTTTTGACCAATCACATCAGATCTTTTTTAGAGTTGGTCTGATTGCGCAAAATACAAATGAGTGAACAAAATATCAGAATTTGGCTGTCTGTGTAAACACAGCCAATGTCAACACAATGTCTCAATTGTTGTGCTGCTGTATGATGGATCACAGCAGTTGGAAATCTGATGACACATGATGTTTCACAAGTGACTCAACTTTGACACCCCCTCAGTTTCAAGTTTTACGTTTTAATGTCACATGCACAAGTACAGTGAAATGCCTTTCTTGCCAGCTCTAACCCCAACAATGCGGTGAACAATAACGATGTAATACTAAAACTAGCAAGGTAGAACAAAAACACAAGAAATAAGAATAAGAAATAAGAACACGATAAAGTATGTAAGAATACTGTATACAGCGTCAGTTCTAGTACCATATTTACAATGTGCAGGGATACTGGATCGATAGAGGTAGATATGTATAGGGCAGTGGAGGCAGCTGAGGGGAGGACGGCTCATAATAATGGCTGGAATGGAAACCATGTGTTCGATGTATTTGATACCATTCCACTGATTCCGCTCCAGCCATTACAACCAGCCCACCCTCCCCAATGAAGGTGCCACCAACCTCCTGTGGTATAGGGGTTAAGGTATATAAGGTATACAGTGGGGGAAAAAAGTATTTAGTCAGCCACCAATTGTGCAAGTTCTCCCACTTAAAAAGATGAGAGAGGCCTGTAATTTTCATCATAGGTACACGTCAACTATGACAGACAAAATGAGCAAAAAAAATCCAGAAAATCACATTGGAGGATTTTTTATGAATTTATTTGCAAATTATGGTGGAAAATAAGTATTTGGTAATAAGTTATATACCCTTTGTTGGCAATGACACAGGTCAAACGTTTTCTGTAAGTCTTCACAAGGTTTTCACACACTGTTGCTGGTATTTTGGCCCATTCCTCCATGCAGATCTCCTCTAGAGCAGTGATGTTTTGGGGCTGTTGCTGGGCAACACAGACTTTCAACTCCCTCCAAAGATTTTCTATGGGGTTGAGATCTGGAGACTGGCTAGGCCACTCCAGGACCTTGAAATGCTTCTTACGAAGCCACTCCTTCGTTGCCCGGGCTGTGTGTTTGGGATCATTGTCATGCTGAAAGACCCAGCCACGTTTCATCTTCAATGCCCTTGCTGATGGAAGGAGGTTTTCACTCAAAATCTCACGATACATGGCCCCATTCATTCTTTCCTTTACACAGATCAGTCGTCCTGGTCCCTTTGCAGAAAAACAGCCCCAAAGCATGATGTTTCCACCCCCATGCTTCACAGTAGGTATGGTGTTCTTTGGACACAACTCAGCATTCTTTGTCCTCCAAACACGACGAGTTGAGTTTATACCAAAAAGTTATATTTTGGTTTCATCTGACCATATGACATTCTCCCAATCCTCTTCTGGATCATCCAAATGCACTCTAGCAAACTTCAGACAGGCCTGGACATGTACTGGCTTAAGCAGGGGGACACGTCTGGCACTGCAGGATTTGAGTCCCTGGTGGCGTAGTGTGTTACTGATGGTAGGCTTTGTTACTTTGGTCCCAGCTCTCTGCAGGTCATTCACTAGGTCCCCCCGTGTGGTTCTGGGATTTTTGCTCACCGTTCTTGTGATCATTTTGACCCCACGGGGTGAGATCTTGTGTGGAGCCCCAGATCGAGGGAGATTATCGGTGGTCTTGTATGTCTTCCATTTCCTAATAATTGCTCCCACAGTTGATTTCTTCAAACCAAGCTGCTTACCTATTGCAGATTCAGTCTTCCCAGCCTGGTGCAGGTCTACAATTTTGTTTCTGGTGTCCTTTGACAGCTCTTTGGTCTTGGCCATAGTGGAGTTTGGAGTGTGACTGTTTGAGGTTGTGGACAGGTGTCTTTTATACTGATAACAAGTTCAAACAGGTGCCATTAATACAGGTAACGAGTGGAGGACAGAGGAGCCTCTTAAAGAAGAAGTTACAGGTCTGTGAGAGCCAGAAATCTTGCTTGTTTGTAGGTGACCAAATACTTATTTTCCACCATAATTTGCAAATAAATTCATGAAAAATCCTACAATGTGATTTTCTGAAAAAATAAATCTCAATTTGTCTGTCATAGTTGACGTGTACCTATGATGAAAATTACAGGCCTCTCTCATCTTTTTAAGTGGGAGAACTTGCACAATTGGTGGCTGACTAAATACTTTTTTCCCCACTGTATGTATAGGGGTAAGGTGACTAGGCATCAGGATATATGATAAACAGAGTAGAGTAGTTC